TTTAGCAGGTCTGCCAGGGCGTTGTTGGCGCTTGGTTCAGTTTGGTGGAAAGTGGTCATGGGGGGATTGTAGCATTGGGGGGTTCGCGGCTGGGGGCCGTGGGCTGCATCCTTCGACATGCTCAGGACGAGCGGGGGGTTCACCCTCACGCCCGTATCAAGTACGGGGCAGGCTCTGGCCCTCTCCAATCAAGGGGGCGGGCGGATGGCGGGTTTGTTGACCGGGTGGCGGGGCGCAGGTATCATCGCCGCATCCCCGGCGGTTATGTCTGGCAGGCTCTGAACCAGTACCGTGGGGCGGTCATGTTATCAACGCATCACGCTTTTTCAGGAGATCAACATGCCTCAGGCTCACGAGCTCATCGTCCAGTTTCTGGAAGAGGCTGGCATTGATGCCGTATTCGGTATTCCCGGCGGTGGTACGGGTCAGATATTTGATCAATTGGTGGGCAAAGAAGCGGTTATCAAGACGTTTTTGGTCCGCCACGAGCAAACGGCGGCCATCATGGCCGATGCCTACGGGCGCGCCACCGGCAAGCCGGCGGTGATCATGGGTCAGGGTCTGTTCATGGGATCCAACGCGGCATTCGGGATCATGGAGGCCATGCTGAGCAGCAGCCCGATGCTGGTGATGACCGATACGTCTGACGGCGGCGTTGGGCAACATCCGGCGAACCAATCGGGGGCCGGCGAGTACGGGAGCATCGACCTGCACAACATCTTCCGGTCGATGACCAAGTACACCACGCTGGCAACCTCGCCCAAGGAGGCGGCGCTGGGAGCGCAGCTGGCCATCAAGCACGCCACCAGCGGGCGGCCCGGGCCGGCGTGTCTGCTGATGCGGACGGCATCGATCGGCGGCGAAGTGGACCTGGAGACTCCGCCCTTTATCCACGACACCGCGGGTTACCTCAACACCTCGAAACCGCAAGCGGCGCCGCAGGACATCCAGAAGGCCATCGAGATTTTGTCGGCGGCCAAACGGCCGGTGATAGTAGCCGGAAACGGTGTGCACATGGCACGGGCCCACGGGGCGCTGCAGCAACTGGCGGAGCGCTGGAATGCTCCCGTGGCAACCAGCTACAAGGGGAAAAGCGCCATCGCTGAAACTCACCCGCTGTCGGTGGGCATGGTGGGCATTTACGGCCAGGAAGCGGCCAACCGCGCGGTTGGGGACGCCGATGCCGTGATCGTGGTTGGAGCCAAACTCAGTCCGCAGGACACGGTGCGGGAACGGCCCACCGTGTTCAATCCGCGGGGCCAGCGCATCATCCAGATTGACATCGACGACCGCAACGCCGGCTGGACTTTCCCGATTGAGCTGGGCCTGATCGGAGACGCCGGCAGCATCCTGGGCCAACTGGTGGAGGCGTCGGGTGAGGCTGCCGCCGCCACGGCGGCCAATCGCACCGAGTGGGCGGGGGCGTTGCCGAACCGGAAGCGGGACCAGGGTTTTTATGAAGAAGCCGGATTGCACACCGACTCTGCGCCGGCGCTGCCGCAACGGGTGGTGAGGCTGTTGCAGGAGAACATGCCAGCAGACACGATTTACTCCCTGGACGCTGGCAACAACCGGACGTGGATGGCGCACCTTTATCAGGCACAGCAGGCGCACACGTTTTTCTGTCCGGGGGGCACGGCTGGCATGGGTTGGGGATTGCCGGCCGCAGTGGGACTGCAGATTGCCTATCCGGACCGCCCGGTGGTTTGCGTGACCGGGGACGGTGGATACATGATGACGGTGAACGCGCTGTCGACGGCGCTCCAGTACCGATTGCCGATCATTTGCGTGGTGTTCAACGATGGCGCGTTGGGCATGGTGAGACACCACCAGGCGCCGGGACGGTACATTGCCTCGGAGTTTGCGGAAACTGACAACGCTGCAGTGGCCCGTGGCTTTGGGTGCTTCGGCGTGCAGGTTGCCGATTCTCGGGATCTGCCGGATGCGCTGCGCGAGGCGCGGGCATCGGGACTGCCGGCGGTGGTGGACGTCCTGATCGACCGCGGGCCGTCGCCGGACGACTGGCGGGCCGACCTGCGGACATCCGGCGAAACCTAAACCGTGGGGTTGTCCAACACCGGTAGAATCGCTATAGCCGTGTCCCTACGGGGCCGGCTATAGATTTGAGTGCAATTGGGGAGGCTTACGATGACTTTCTGGACTGACGCACAACTGGCATCAATAGACCGCATGTTGAATCCGCGTTCGATTGCGGTGGTGGGAGCGACGCCGCGGATGCAATACGGCGGGCGATTCCTGGCGGCAGCGATGCAGGCATCAGACCGGGTCAACGTGTATCCGGTGAACCCGCGATACGAGGAAATCCAGGGCGTGAAGTCGTATGCGTCGGTAACAGATCTGCCCGAGGCGCCGGACGTGGTGGGAATCGTGGTGCCCTATCACGCGGTGCTGGATACGCTGCGGGAGAGCCACGCCAAGGGCGCCAGGTCGGCCATCGTGATTTCGGCCGGGTTTTCCGAAAGGGGCGAAGAAGACCGACGGGAACTGCAGCTGGAGATGGGTCGGTTCGCCAGGGAATCGGAGATGCGGGTGAGCGGTCCGAACTGCCTGGGACTGGCCAACTTGAAGGACGACATCTGGGCCAGCGCTTCGTCGCGTGGAGCCGAAGGGCTCAGCGGGCCGGTGGGGCTGGTCTGCCAGAGCGGCGCATCGGCGTTTGGGCCGTTTCTCACGCGGGCGGTGGACGATGGGATTGGGTTCAGTTACATCGTGTCGACCGGGAACGAGGCTGATCTGGATTTTTGTGATTTTGCCCGCTACCTGCTGGACGACGACGATACGAAGGTGATCGCCGGATTTGTGGAAGGGTTCAAAGACGGCAGGAAATTCGTCGAGCTGGCTAAGCTGGCCGCCGAGCGCGGAAAACCCATCGTCCTCATCAAGATAGGACGCTCTGACCTGGGTTCCAGGGCCGCGGGGTCACACACGGCAGCCCTGACCGGAGTAGACACACGGTACGATGCGGCATTTGAGCAGTACGGTGTGATTCGGGTGCAGGATTACGACGACCTGCTCCAGGTGTCCAACATGCTGGCACGATGCCAGAGGCCACCAAACCGGGGGGTTGCCGTGGTGTCGCACTCCGGGGGAATCAGCAGCCTGACCGCCGACATGTGCGGACAAGCGGGTCTTGATCTCCCGCCGCTGTCCGACCACGCACGCGACGGCATCAACGGCATCCTCAAGGGGTTTGGGTGGGCCGCCAACCCATCGGATGTAACGGGATTCGCCAACAGCAACGACTTTCCGGAGATCATGTCGTTTATGGCCGAGGATGATCAGGTGGGCACGCTGGTGGTGGCGTCCGCCGGCGCCGACGCCCAGGCCGCGCAGGTCATCGCGCAACGGGACGGCAGCAACAAACCCATCGCATTCCTGTGGACGGGAACGAGGGGGAGCCGATTCGGGGCTGCCCATGCTGCGACGGGCCGGTATCCCGGTTTTTTACGTTCCGGACAAACTCGCAGCAGGGATTCGATACCTGAATGACTACCATGACTGGCGGGATCGGAGGCTGGGTAGAGGGTTCGCGTCGGTGGAGCCGATGACCACCGAACAAATCAACGCGGTCGCAGGCATATCGGGCCGGTCTGGAACTATATCTGAAACCGACAGCAAGCGGTTGATCGCGGCCTTCAGCGTGCCGGTTACGAGGGAAGAACGAGCGTCGGACGCCGCCTTTGGCGGTGAGCGCGGCCGAACGCATCGGGTATCCGGTTGCAGTGAAGGTGGACTCGGCGCAAATCATGCACAAAACAGAAGCGGGCGGGATTCGCCTGGGTTTGCACACGCCCGATGACGTACGGCAGGCATTCGGCGAGGTTACCAACAACGCGCTGGAGTACGACCGCAACGCCACCATCGACGGGGCCTTGGTGCAGCAAATGATTACGGGCGGCGTGGAGACTATCGTGGGAGTGTCTTACGACAGCCAATTGGGACCAGTGCTGCTGTTTGGCACCGGCGGGGTGATGGTGGAGATATACAACGACGTAGCCCTGCGGCTGTGTCCCATCAACCGGGAGGATGCGCTGGAGATGATTGGCGAGGTGAAGGGAGTGGGGCTGCTGCGCGGGTTCCGGGGAGCGCCGCCTGCCGACATTGACGCCCTGGCCGACGTATTGGTCAGCGTGTCACAGATGGCAGTTAGCCTGGAAGGGCGGCTGACCGAACTGGACATCAATCCATTGATGGTCCTGCAGGCTGGCCAGGGTGTGGTGGCTGCCGATGCGCTGGCGGTTCTGGCTGACCAGTAAGGGATTTCCGAAAGCAGGGTATCGCACGTCCGATTTTACGCTTGGGATACCCATACATGAGTATCCCAAAAGATGGTCCAGCAGGATCAGCGCTCCTGAAGTACTTCACCAGAAAGCTGGGTTACGCGATAGAGACGCACCAGCACCGCAGCGCCGGTACGTTCCGGGTCGCGGTCCAGTTCTCCCTGGATCGTGCGGGCCATGACGTTTTCACGAATTGCGCCGCTCTGGTACACGGTGGCGGTGCCGTGGAATCTGAGATTGATTCGCTGCTCGGGGTTGCGATAGAAGAGGACCACTTTGGGATTGGCGACGACGTTGGCAGCCGAAGAGCGCCAGGCCCGTTCCCAGTAGGCGAGGGTCTCCCGGTCGAACACCAGCACGCTGCCCTTCATGCTGATCTGGGGCTCACCGTCCGCTGACACCGTGCCGATAGAAATGGGGCACCGGTCGTCCAGGGCATTGTCAATCAGAGCGCGCAGTTCATCGTCGATATGTATCACGTCAGTCTCCTGTCTCAACCAAGTCGCGCTATTTCTGCCCAAGTGTGGCATCGGATACGGCAGCCTGTTTTTCAGCATCGCGCGCCGTGCAAGCCTCACTGAGGGCAAGCACGTCTTTGGCCCGCTCGTCAACGGGAACGTCGATCATACGACCGGCAAAGGGTGCGGCAGCGGTACCGGCAGCCAACGCCTGGGCAAATACATCGCGCACTTGCCTATAGTAATCCACCAACGATTCGGTGGGGGTAAACGCTGCGTTCACGGCGCTGATCCAACTGGGATTTAAGCACACCAGACCCTTGAAGCCCAGATTCCGAGCATCGGTGGCAGTCTGGAATTTGTCGTCGTACGGCAGGTCGTCAGGGGCCCGGCCAGTGGGGTCGACCACCGCAACAGGTTGTACGCCGGCAGCGGTGGCCTCGATGCAGAGGCGTCCCCGGGCGTATACGAAAGGATCCAGGGCGGTGTTTTGTACGATACCCAGGTTTGCGGCGAGGGCCGCTTCGTCGATGCCGACCTGTTTCACTCGGGGACTGGCTGCAATGATGTCTCGGATATTCCAGACGCCGGCCGCCGTTTCGACGGATAAGGTTATCTCCACCGTTCCGACCGCAACGCCGCGCCTCCGTTCAAATTCAGCCAGATATTCATCGGCTTCTGCAACCAGCCGCGCCGAATCGACTCCGGGCAGGACGACACCGGCCAAACCAGGCCAGACCGCGGCCTGGATATCAGAATAGAGAAACTCAGAGTTGACGCGGACAAACACGTCGGCAGCGCCCCGGCCGGCGTGGGCGATGGATTGGCCCAGGGAATCCCGAGCAGTTTCGATCATTGACCGAGGAATTCCATCCTGCAGGTCCAGCGTAATAGCATCGGCGTCGTGCTGCCATGCCGATTGAATCGACCTGGCATCGGTGGCAGAAATCATCAGGTTTGACCGTCGAATCAACATGCCTGTCTCGCCAATCATGGGCTATCGTTCTGCTTCGTCGGACTCGGCCATACGCACTCGCGCGATGGCTTCGTTCTTCTCGGAGTCCCTGGCGCTGCAAAGCTCCGCCCAGCCCAGCAGCTCTTCGGCCCGCGCAGCTTCGTAGCGGTCTATTATTCTATATCCGCTGTCGGTGGGTCCGGACGTTTCCAGAGGCAAGGGTTGGGAATTCCGATCGACGGATGCAGTGTCGATTTGAATCCATGTATCGCTGGAGACCGCCAACTTCCGGAACTCCTGGAGCACCCAATGGGTGTCGGAGATCTCGGCCTCGGCGGGAGTAAAACCGCGGTTCTGGGAATCGACGACGTAGGGATGCAACCCTCCGCCGATGCGAAAACCACACTTGCGAGCTGCGTCGGCTTCAGAGAAGGCGCGATCCGGATCGCTGACGCTGCCGGTGATGTTGGGTGTGAAAGGAGTTTGCCCGAGCTTCGATATTCAAAGCGCGGGCGGCCAGTTCGACTTCGCCCTTTCCATAGACAAACTGGTCGAAGCCGACGAACATCTCGACGCCCAGGTCCCGGGACATGTCATAACCGGCAGCACCGCCGAAATCGCGAACTCGCTCGCTGGCCGAGGCAATTTCGAAGGCGTTTGCCACACCGATGGAAGTCTCGATGTTGGCGCCGATTTCGATCGTACCCGGTCGTATGCCCCGTTCGGCCTCCAAACGAGTGATGATCTCGTCCATGCGCCTGATTTCATGCCCGTATTCCGCCTTGGGATAGTTGATGAGGAACATACCGGGCCAGACGGCTGCGTTGAGGTCGGCCTCCATGAGATCGTGATTGATGCGGCACACTGCGTCGGCTCCGCCCTTGTTGACCACCGGGATGCTGCGGCGAACCAGGTTGCGGGCGACACCTTTCAGATCCGGCGGAACGGAGTCTTCCAGGTCCATGTTGATAAAATCGCAACCACGATGCCAGGCATTGCTGATGAACCGGTCGGTGACAATGGGCATGGTCAGGCCGGATCGCTTCAGACGCCTTCTGGAATCAGCCATATAACAACCTCTGTGGGCATTGGGCTCGCCGGGACGATTGGTTGGTTAGGGCAATGGGATAGGCCGGCCGGCGACAGCGGCGGCCTTGAATTCGTCACGGACGGCACAGGCAGATGCCAGCACAGACACGTGAGCATATTGCTGAATTATGTCCGGTGTGAGAGTGCGACCGCCCACTACCACGATGGACTCGGTACCCGGCCGGATGGCATCAGCATACGTTTCAAGCTGGGCGTCCGCAGCGTCAGATTCCTCGGGAGAAGGCGTATAGCCTTCATTGAGGGCGGGAACCTGATTATCCAACACACAGAACGAACCTTTGAAACCGATTTGAGCCCCCGCGACGCGCCGCCTCCAGCGTGTTCGCCGGCGTAGCTATCAGTCCGCGATCGGGTGCGCGCCACCAGGCTCCGAGGGGAGCTTTGCCGGTTGCGCCTGCCAATACGACGAGGCGCTGCATCAGGTATTCCATGAGATGAATCTCACCAGATGGTTCCGGTCGCAAATCCATGGTAAGGTCGGCGCGGCCCAGTGTGATACCCCAGATCCGGTCGCTGGCCGTGGCGATGGCGAAACCATCGTGATTTCCGGCGGCCGTTTCCAGCGACGCCACGATTTCAACACTGCCGGGCAGCAAACCACGTTCGCTTTCCAGCGTTGCGATCAATTCATCAGCACGGACAATTTGATCTGCCGATTCCAGCCGACTGATAACGACCCCCGAAACGCCCGGCCAAATGGCGGCGCTGAGGTCGGCCAGCAGGAGTTCGGGGTCGACTTGAACGAAGATTTCGGCACCGCCGCCCTTGGCCGCGTCGAGGGACCCCCGCACTGCTTCACGGGCGGCGGGTTTGTCGCGCTCGGCGACGAATTCAACCAGGTCGAGCACGGCTACATCGGTTCCGGACGCGGTTATTGCAGCGATGCGTTCGGGTTGGGACATGGGAACCAACAGCCACGAACGCCGGATTTTGTCGGTATATGCCATTACCAAATCTCAACTGGAGGGGAGGCCACTGCCAAGCCGCGTCGTGTTGTATAATGCGGCCCAGATTCGAGAATGTTTATCGTGCGTTCCCCGTTTGTGGGCGGCGACAATTGTAAACCACCCGGCAACCAGAGACAAGGCGACTCGTTGCCGTAACTATCCCCACGTTATGTAGAGTGATTGATCCATTGCAGGAGAGATTGTGTCCAAGCCGCTTTCGTTAGAAATCAAGGAAATTCCCGACCACGGGCAAGTCGAGTTGCGGCTGACTACCGCAACTGGCAGCACCAGTTCCTCCTCGCCAACGACGTTCACGTTGGACCTGACCGACGACGAACGCGCCGCGCTGGATTGGTATCATACCGAATTTCAGAGAGCGCCGATTGGCGCGTTGAACCGCGCCGAAGCCATCGAAGAGGCCACGCGCAATTTGGGGCGGGTGCTATTCGAAACGCTGTTTTCAGCCGGAAGCGAAGGCCGTTCATTGCTGGATCAATTTCTAGCCGAGGACGGAGAAGCGGAAGTCGCGATCGTCTCACCAAATCCGCGTTTCCTGGCGCTGCCCTGGGAGCTGATGAACGACCCCACCCTGGGGTACTTCTGCACCAAGGTACACGGCGTTGTACGCCAGTTTGAATCTGACCCGCCCGTTGATGATACGGACGAACGTACTGAGGAGTCGTTCAACGTCTTTGTCCTGTCGCCGACACCAATCGCCGGCAGCGCCGAATCGCATGAGTCACTGCTGGCGGCACCGGTGGTTGCGGGCGGCAATCTGGCAGATGCCACGGTGGCGGCGTTGGAAAGTCTTAACCTGGAAGCGTCGCTGAACAACCCGCGACCGGCCACACTGGAAGCGCTTAGCCGGTATCTCGGCGCAAGCCCTGGCGCTTACCACGTAGCGCATCTTGACGGCGTGACGGCGAACTCGGACGGAATGTTGCTGCTGGAATCTGATGACGGCTCGCCGGATCCGGTACAACCCGAGGTTCTGGGCCGCGTGCTGGCCGACTCCGGTGTGAAGGTCTGTCTCATTTCTGCAGGCGCTCAAGCCGGTGGCTCGACGACGCAACTGTGGTCGACGATTGCGGCATCCGTCGCTCGAGCGGGCGTGGCGCAGGTTGCGATGATACCGTTCCCGTTGCACCCGGATACGAGAGAAGCGGCGACGCGAGAATTTTATGCGGCCGTGGTCCAGGGAAACTCGGTGGCTCACGCGGTGGCCCGGTTGCGAACCAGACTCATGGATGCGCCGGAACGCGTTACGTTGAACGGCAAACGGGTTACGTGGGACTGGCACCCGCCGATGGTGTACCAGTCCAGACGATATCTGCCGCCCACGATCGCGGAACACCAGCCAGACCCGCTGGCACCGCCGGAAATCCATCCCGAAGAAGCGCCGACCGAAGATTTGCAGATTCCGGCCGCCGGGCAGCATGGGCTGGTGGGTCGCCACGCCGAATTGCGGCAGCTGGAGCATCTGCTTCGAGCCAACGACATCGTGTTGTTGTCGGGTGATACAGGCGTGGGGAAAACGGAGCTGGCCCTGGGGTTGTGCCGGTGGTTCCTTTAAACCAGCACGGGTAACGTTCCCGGGCGGTGCGTTTTACACCGCCTTTGAAGCGTCGCATCCGGCGGGCATCGAGCGGGTAATACATGAGATCGGGACTGCAGTGGCGGGCCTGGAATTCGCCAATTTTCCGGTCAACCAACAGCGCCAGTGGGTTGTCTCCTACCTGCAACAGAATGCGTCCCTGCTGGTTTGGGACAACGTCGAAAACGTGGCGGGATTCCCTGATGGATCGCCTGGGCTGCTTGACGAGACCGAGTTGCCCGGTTTGGCGGCGTTTCTGAGTGAGGTTACAACCGGTCCGGTGGGCAGCAGGGGTTTGTTGTTGAGTCGACGGCCATCGGAAAGCTGGTTGTCTGTTCCCCACGCCTCGGTAAGGCTGGACGGACTGATGGAAGCGGACCGCAACGGACTGGCGGCGGCGGTGATGGAAAAGGTTGCCGTTCCGGCTTCGAGAGTCGGGAGCGATTTCGGCGAACTGATGGAGCTGCTGCAGGGGCATCCACTGGCCATGCAGGTTGCGATTCCACCGGTGAAAGAGGTTCCCGCAACGGTGGCCGTGGGTGAAATAACCCGATTGCTGAACGAGATGCCGGATGGCGGGGAACCGGGACGCGCACCGATCCTGACGGCCGCAATGGAATATGCGTTCTCGCGCATGTCGCACCGCAGCCGCATACATCTGCCCTTCCTGTCCATGTTCCAGCGCCGCGTCATGCTGGACGTGCTGAATCACATTACTCAGGAACGAGTGTACGCCACCATAACCGCGAAGACCTGGGATGGGGAGCCTGCCGCACGTTGCTGCGTTCGGCGATGACGTCGGGATTCGTGGAACCGATATCACCCAGCGTTTACCAGATCAACCCAGCGTTGCCGTGGTTCCTGGGTCAAAAATTGGGGAGACAAATTCCGGCTGGCGGTATACAGCAACTGGAAACCGAGTTCGTGAGGGTGTATGCGGACACTGCGGACTATTTTATGGAGAGCCTGTACGAAAACCAGGACACCGGTGTTACGGCAGTGCTGGCTGAAGAAGGCAATTTGACGCAGGCCCTGGGTTTGTCACTTGAGTATCGCCAGTGGGACAACGCCCAGTTGCTGATTCAACCGCTGGCCCAGGTGTACCGGATGCAACGCCGGTTCCCGGAATTGCGCCGACTGCGGGGGCAACTGCTGGACACCGTGGGTCATTCGGCAGCTGAAGCCGAAGCCAACGGCGCCATAGAATTCTGGCAGTACATCCTTGGCACCGACGCCATGGAGTCGGTGGAGCTACTGGAACTGGACCGGGCGTCCGGGTACAACGATCAGCTGCTGGCCTACCTGTTGTCACAAGACGACGGGGAAACGGATCCCCGCACCGCCGCGGTCTACCACCAGAACGGATTGATAGCCACCCGCCGCGGCCAGTACGACGTGGCGTCGGAATGGTTGGAGAAGGGCCTGGAAATCATTGACGGTGGGGAAGACCAGGAGTCCACGGCCGACGCGTGCTTCGCAATAGGCCAGGTGAGGCACAACCAACGGCAATACGGATCGGCGAAGGAATGGTATTCCAGAGCCCTGGACATCCACCAGCGGTTGCCTGACTACGAAGAAATGGTCAGCGACTATCGAGCCCTGGGGGCGGCCTGCCACCTGAGGTTTGAATACGACGAGGCGCGCAGCTGGTACCACCGGGCGCGGGAGATAGTGGAAGAGAACCGCGACGAAGAAACAGCGGTGTACATATTCCATGCTTTGGGGACGGTGGATCACTCCGAGTATCTGTTTGAAGAGGCCCAAAACTGGTATCAACAGGCGCTGGGGCTGTGCGACCGACTTGGTATGCAGGAACAAATGGTCATCGAATTTCACCATCTGGGCACGTTGGCGCAGGCCCGGGGTATTCCGGACGAGGCCGAGGAGTGGCTGGCAACCGCGATGGATGCCAGGGAAGAAATGGGGGACGTTCGGGGCGTGGGTATCGAGGCAAGGCAGATCGGTGTCCTGCACCACGAACAGGGGAACCTGGACCAGGCCCAGGATTGGTATGACCGAGCGCGCCAGGCTTTCGAGGATACCAGCGACATTTTGCGGGCGGCGCGAACGTACGGCCAGATGGGGATGG